ACAAACTTACATATGTGCTCTGTCGGCTGTGTGCCTCAGGTGCCCTACTCAGCCATGGGCCAGGACGACATGGAGGACATCAACCGACAGATAGAAGAGCTCACAGCCACACGCACAGTGGCCATTGCCAGAGGCGACAGCACTGACCTCGAGCAGTACGACGAGCAGATACGCGCGCTCTTCACCAAGGCCAAACGGTATGGAGAAGGATCTGCTGGGTGGTACTGTATCTGGAGTGTGTGTATTTGTGGTTTTATTGTTTTGTTTTATCAGATAGCGTCTTGTGAATCTTGCGTGTATATATGTGTTTATTTGGTTTTATATGTATCGTTTTGTAAGCCCAGATAGCTTGTGCATCTTGAGTTTATATACGTTTATATAGTTTTGTGCATATGCATATAGCGTTTTGTATGACCAAATAGCTTGTGTAACTGGAGCGTGCATACGTTTTAATAGAGTTTTGTACATAAGGTTTTGTATCCCCGGATAGCTTGTTGATCTTGAGTGTACATACGTGTTTTTAGGGTTCTGCATATAGGGTATCTATGGCCAATGATGTGTTGTATACGAGTAAATTGGGTTTTGTCTTTATTCTGGACTGATTATGGCCTGGGCGTGTACAGTACAGTGCGTGTCCATTGGCGTCGACCTACGTTCTTAGGTTTTCGGTCGTTTTAGTGTTATTTGCGCGGTGTTTGTGCTTAGATTATCCTCGCACGTGTGTGCTCACAACTTTCAGTGCTCGTACCTATTTATAGGCTAAGGTTACGGGTTTTGTTTCTGTCGTTACGGACACAATTTGTCAGCGACGACACCCAGACATGACGGTCAATGTTTAAACACCCGTCAATATGCGCATCACTCGAAGATACTTTCTCTCTCGAGTCAGTACTGGACAATCGCTCTACTGTGACACAGTAGTCGTTACTAACAGCGCCTGTCTGTCGTATCACCTGAACGGTCTAATACGCACAGAACCGCCATCAACCGCAAGACAATACTTGCCAACAACGCCAAGCAACGCGATTCGTCACGCAGCAACATATCAGCCTTATCATCCAAGAGCACCAAGCCCACGAAGCGCAGCGATTCATCGTATGTCTGTGCTGGATGGTCATGAGGATGTAACATACGTGGTGTTAGTGCTAGGTGTCTATGTGTAATATCGTCCAAGAGTGTCAAGAACGTAATGTATGTATATATATGTATATGTATATGTATATGTATATGTATATGTATATGTATACGTATAAGTATATATATATAGTTCTAGTGCTTTGATATCAGAGAGTTGACAGAACGTGGGTCACTCTCTTATACTCGCTCACGTTATGATACCGAACTCCTTCCATTACCATTAATGTTCATATAGAATAGAATCGTACCATTGTGTGACTCACAAGGTGTACTCCTCAACAAAGTAAAGTTGTCTATCTATCTTGTATAGAAATGTATACTTTCACGGTTGTGTAGAACGTATGATTTTGCCTTGTTTCGACATCCACCCACCGCACGCACTGTGTCCCTTGTTTTGTACACTCACATACGCCGAACTCCATGCCTGCTACACGCCGTAGTAAACTTAACAACACCCTGCCAAGCGCGAGCAAGGGACGGGCAGACTATGTGGAGGCTGTGCGTGTGGAGGAATACGCTAAAAACAAGGCCAACAAAGGGGCCAATCCCAACAAGAAGCCCATCAACGGCCATGTGTTCAAGACTGTCAGTGTGGGTGTGCCATCTACGTGTCACCACTGCAAGAAGAGTATTCTTGGGAGCATCAGGTGAGTTCTATCACATCCGCTATGAACTAGGGTTAGCAGCGTGAATGTAGGCCAATGTCTGAAGTGTTTTGCTTTACTTCGTGCGCAGAGACATGGACAGACAGTCAACACTATACTCCTAGGATGGTGCACGAGCTCAGCAGTTGGCTTTGTTCAATAGCCACTTTTTGGTGCAGATTTGTATTTGATTTTGGGGCTCACCTGCAGTCCTAAATAGCGTGTACTGGCCTTCTGGCCGTTGGGTGTCACTGGTAGGAGAGCACGCAACATAGGAGTGCGTCAATATATTGTCAGTATATTGTACACTCGCTCAACCTGGCTTCGCCCCTCGGCTTATATGCTTAGCTATTTAAACATCAATCTTTCCGCTGACTCGCTATATTCTTTTTTGTATCTCTGTGTCTCCCCTCGCAGGTCCACTAGCAAATGCACGAACAAGCAGTGCTCGATACTGGTGCACAAGAAATGCCGTGAACTATGCAGCCCTTGCCCGCAGTAGTGTGCACTCCTTGGATTGTACACCGAATGATGTCTGTGGGCTGCCGTCCACCGGATCTTAATACCAGTGGTCCTGTGTTAGTGGTGGACCATATCTCAGTAGAAGACGTGGCTGTGTATCGGAGGTTCAACGCCTGTTTCGGAGGATACGCTTGTATTGGATCATGGTTTAGTGCGAGGTGCTGTATGCAGGAAAGAACTGATTTCCTGTTGGAATAGTGGTGTTGTAATACGGTCGGCAAATGTGCGATCAAGAGGTAGGCGCGCATTCTGATATCTGGGAAAGTCCCTGTAGAATTGCGCGAAAAAGGCATGCTACGACCTTTTGGAATGACAATAAAGGGAGGTGGTTTGCACCAGTAGAAAACAGCAGTAGAAAGGGAATGATTCGACTCTCCTGCTGAGCGAGTCACTGACATCGGCCGTGTATGTATTGGTTTCTGAGAGTGACAGGTGCTATTGTATATACTCAGCGGTAAACCGGAACGAGGTTGAACATGTTGTTCGCGTAGATGTTTGTATCTGATTTTTAAAGCTTTCAATTACAAACCTACTCGACAAAGGGATCAGGCGGATATACCCTATCGCAAGTTTATAGGCGGACCTGAGTTGAGGATACGATACTTCCTTAGGCGTCCCTTGGAATAGACAGAGTCCTAGACTGCGCGTTCGTGTTGTAATTGGTCGAGTGTCGAAACAATCGTGTCCACTAATAAGCCAGTTCTTAATCTTCCATGTCTATGAGTCCTTTATATAGGAGTGTGCGAGTTCTTAACGATTAGAAGATCAATTGATGAAACATTTATAGCAGTGTGCTTGTATGCAGGTGGAAACTGTCTCACTGTTGAAAAGTGACGTCTCAATACGATCAGAGATAGGAGTACATTCTAATGTGTGGGAAGCGCCCCGTGGACTGCTCGAAATTGGCATGTTATGACTTTTTGGAATGACAATAAAGAGAGGTGGTTTGCACCAGTAGAAAACTGCAGTAGAAGGGGAGTGAATCGACTCTCCTGCTGAGCAAGTCATTGACTTCGACCGTGTATATTTTGGTTTCTAGAAGTGACAAGTGTTATATTTATATAGTCAGCGGTATAACGAAACGAGGTAGAACACGATATTCGCATAAATGTTTCTATCTGATTTTTGAAGCTTTCAATCACTAACCTATTCGACAGAGTTATCAGAAGCATGAACCATACTACTGGTTCATAAGCCGACCTGGGTTTGGGATGAGTTGCTTCCTTAGGCTTTCCTGGGAATAGACGGAGTTTTCGACTGCTTGTTGGTGTTGTTAGTGATCGGGTGTCGAAATAATAGTGTCCATTAGTTAGACATGAATCCTAACAGGAGTGTGCGAGTAATTAAAGGTATAATTGATGAAACATTTATACAGTCTCCACGCACAGTATTCAGAGGAGACAATTCAAGCTGAAGACTCGGTATAGCGAATCTGGCAGGTGTATGTATTTATGAATGTTCACTATAAAACTGGCCACGCGAAGATATAACACTTCTGTAGGTTATCAATACAAAACTAATGAAACCTACTTAAATTAATTTATTTATTGTCATAGTCAGTTGATAGTTAAATTAGCAATACAATAATTATACTTCAACAAACTACGTACTGATTAACCAGAAATTGTGCATATGCACCTAAATTATTTTACATTCTAATATTTAAGTTTAACCAGGTTCGGCAGGGTGTCTCTAATGCTTTCACAAGATGATGGCCTTGGCTGCCCTGTATACTCCACACAGGGCACCTCCTGACTCCTACACTTGATGATCGCTTTAGAATCTGAGATACGAATGCGTGAGTCAACAGCACATGACATCGGCAGAGGTACATTTACAGGGACCGTTGTCTCTCTGTGAAGTGTCATAGCACAACAAACAATTTCGTTGTGAAACAATCGCGCTGAATCCAATCGTTTCTCAGGAAACCTGCATATAGGAATGAACCACTAGCATGTTTCTTTTCCATACGGAGGCTATCGGTCGCCTCAATATCTTAGCAAAATCGGCCGTTCTCAGATCACACTGATTCTATTCCAGACTGCTTATCGGTCGGAACGGTTTGTAACTGTGATTCGCATTAGTTTATTCAGATATCGCAGGCAGCGTATGTACAAACCGTTGAGACGGAAGCGAGTAGTCGCACGACGGTTGTACAAACAGTTGCGATATTGGCTTAAACTGCTCGATTTGTAGAATACTCTGAGCCATGTTGTTCGACGCACTGGTGTTGTGGGATTCGTAAGGGAGAGACATTAATGTCTCCACCTCAGTTGTAGGTACAAACATGGACCAATTATGCTGGTGGTAGTCTTTTTCTGGTTCTAGATGTAGGACTGCTTCTTGAGTCAGCTGCACTTTGAAAGGCAACCACTTTTGTCTTTTATGTGTTAATGTCATGATCTTTATATTTCTAACCTCAGAATATGTTTGGGTTCCCTTATTTATAGCATCGAGCCAACGACAGAACAATATCGCCTAAAACCAAATACCAGGCCAAAAGAGATGTCTAAGAGAGATGTCAAGAGTCAAGCCTCCTATCCTAATCATTTGTACATAGCCATCACGCGGAGGAAATATTTATCGATATGTTTTTTCTTTTATTTTCTTTTTTTTTTAAACAAATGTGGCGCATGGAAATTAGAAAATGGAAGTGGCAAATATAAATATTGGAGTGTGAAGAGGCATGCAAGAGTGTGAAACCATTAGAGATATTGTGATAAGACATCAAAGATAGTCAAGAAGTATTATACCCCATTAAAATTAACATTGTACGAAATCTACGAATACGATATTCGATATCAATCTCCGACTTTCGCCCCACTAACGTAAAAAAATGAAGAAAAAAAATAAGCGTTTACGTTCAGTTTATCCTAAATATAGTCCTTCGGGTTTTCAAATAGGTTCATTTTTTGAGGCGGCCTAACTTGCACGAATCGTCTAAAAATCAGCCCGCACATTAAGATAACAATCTGTGACCACTATTGTTTATTTATAATACTTTTGTGTGTCCACGTATACACGTCAGAAATTCTGCAACTGTAGCCGTCTGGGAGCCTCCAGAGAGGACGCAGAAACGTTATCATCGAATACTTCATTACGCGAAAAATACTATACGGAAGGGTGAGCTGTATGACAAACGTGCACACAACACACGCACACACATATATATATATATATATGTGTGTGTGTCTGTGTGTGTGTGTGTGTGTGTGTGTGTGTGTGTGTGTGTGTGT